ATATTTACTCTAAAGGAGGAATGTAACGGCTGCCAGTTTCCACATTTAAATGTATCTGTTATTTAACTAAACTTTTTACTTCTCTTTCTCTCTCGGTGTGTGTGTGTGTGTGTGTGTGTGTGTGTGTGTGTTAAATGTGTCATTCTTACTACAGTGAAGGAAAATGTGGCAGAGAAGTTGCTCTCTTACAACAGGGCAAACCGTGCGGTTGCAATTCTATGTAACCATCAGCGGGCGCCGCCAAAGACCTTCGAACAGTCCATGGCTAACCTGCAAGCAAAGGTACTGGAGATATGAAACTGAATAGTGAAAAAAAATATTTTACAGCAAAAAAAAACCATTCAAATATCATGAGAGGCATTTGAATATGATTCTGTTTTATTAGGTTTGTTTTTTCTCTCTTCTCTTCTTTAAGATTGACAGCAGGAAGGAGCAGCTGGACTTGGCTAAGAAAGAGCTAAAGCAGGCCAAGAAAGAAGCCAAAGGGAGCTCAGACAATAAGCTGCTTATGTCAGTATCTCATTCCAGGCCTCTGAAAGGGGACGTTTATTTGCTCTTCCAGCTATTAGGATCCTTTTATAAATGAATATGATATTCACATGTAAAAGCATTTTGTGTGTGTTCAGTGTGGTGGAGAAGAAGAAGAAAGCTGTGCAGAGGTGTGAGGAACAGCTGCTGAAGATGGAGGTTCAGGCTACAGACCGAGAGGAGAACAAACAGATCGCCCTGAGCACCTCCAAACTCAACTACCTGGATCCACGCATCAGCGTGGCCTGGTGATGTCATACTCGTACACAAAGTTGCTACACAGGAAGTCTTGTTGTATTTCATATCAGAATGTTGACTTTATTTTCTGCTTCTAGGTGTAAGAACATGGAGGTGCAGCTGGATAAAATTTACAACAAAACCCTAAGGGATAAGTTTGCCTGGGCTATCGACATGACTGAACATGACTTTGTGTTCTAAGCGTGGTTTGTTCATTCTCCAATTCAACTCAGTGTTTTATACAAATGTACATTTTAATAGAAACTGTGCGTTGTGCAGCGTTTTGCTGATTATTGTTGTCACTTTTATATTGTTCAATTTTTATATTGTTTAATCAAATGTTCCAAGTTATTTTAAGAAAGTTCAATAAATGTTCTTCATTTGTTCATTTTTTTTTTTAACTACAAAAGCTTTTTGAGAGACATTTCAGATGTTGTATTTCACCCCAAAATAAGGTAAAAATGGTAAATTTTATATATAAATTATTTTTTAACATCTAGTAATTCTCATTAACATAATGTGAAAAAAGTAATGAAACCGTAATGAAAATCATCCAGTCCTGATACAATTCTGTATGACACATAATTCCAAGATTTACTAATACTATTATAAATACAAGTTATTATTCAGTTAACATTTTGGTGTAAAATGTTCATGGTTTGGACATGTTTTTTGGTCCAATATAATTTACCAATATATATCCCTTCAAGCCTTTTTCCATGAGTCCAGATTCAAAAATAGATTTTTCTTGGAGGGGAAAAATCTTATCAAGCGATTTAGTCAAATTTTAGCTGAAGACCTTTGATAGTGTTATGGTTTTAAATTGCATGGAAAGGTGTTAATCATCATCTCACCCAGCTTACATGTTGATCAATTATAAACAATGTGATTTACATTTCCAAGAATTCACCCTATTAGTTTTAGCTTGAGCGTATTTGACCCAAGAGATTTTGTGTGTCAGCATGCGTTCCTTTTTATTATATTCAACTAACTTGCAAATGCTAGAGAGGACTGGGTGAAACCATGAACTATAATGGTGTTAATACAGACTTCACAGTTTGGTTTAAAGGAGCTATACCAGTAAAGAGAGATGAGGACACAGGTTTTAAGAAACAACTTTAATTCAACAATAAATTCACTTTAACAGGAATGGTGTTAGGTTGGCACTTGGGCTAGTGCTATTACAGTAACGCAGGGTTCGGTTCTACAGTTGGATGTCGTGTTTAAAAAGTTCTTTGCAATCCATTACAGAAAAAGGGTAGCATAGTCACAGTACTAGGACTGACTTTAAATTCTAAATATTAAAAAAAGCATTACTTCAAACCAAAATATGTTAGTCACCATAGAGAAAATCTTGCTTCTCCTGAAGAGTGTTGATAGTTTTTGCTACTCAGGATTCTGTGAAAGATAACACTGAATCAGTGCAGTGCATTTTAATACAGCATACCAGAATGAAATGCATTTCAAATTTCCATTTAGGATCAAACATTCACAACTGGTTTCACCTAAAATAGTTTAGTCGATTGAAATGGAAAGTACCTCTACTAGGAGGCCTCTCCCTCTTTGACCTTGTTCTCCCCTTCAATCTCTTCCACTCCCGCCTGAGTCATCAGGTCTGCAATATTCTTCTCTAGATCATCGATGCGGGTGCTCATTTCATCAAGTGGATCTTATTAAGGAAGATAAAGGAGCAAGTACAGGTAATACCACACCATTTAAATACTCATATCAAGGCATTGAGTGCATGACTAAAGCAATGTCTGCTTAGTAGATCTTGACTGTAAACATTTGTATGTATTTGTAAACCTGCATAGCACTGGATTAAAGCATTTACGCGTTTGGATTTTTACAGATAGTTTTGTGAACCTGATCACAGAATGGTGATCTTGTGGTTGTGGTCAATTTTGGTTCTGTGAAAATGTGGAGCTTTTCTGAAGAGATTTGTATGTGGGTCTGAGATTTGTATGAGTTTGAGAGATGCTCTTCCTGTTCGACAATGGTTGTGGCATTTTAGTGGTTAAAGATCTGGATTAACCCCCCTGACGACTGACAGTTCAGACTTTGGAAGAGTTAAGTCCTCCTCAGCTTTGTACCCTCAGGGTTTCTGTGGATTTTATAAAGGTAAATTGAAAGCTTTTTTCAAGACCGAGGAAAGAAAATGTAGTAAGTACAAGAGCTTGTATTTGCAACACTTCAAAGTTTGAAAATACAACTTTCAAACAATCTCCATTACTTTTTTTTAACAAAAGTTAAATACTTTTGCTCCCAACCCTTCCTCAGTATTTTGATTTGGTTTTTCAGTGCAAATCTATAAAGATTCTTAAATCAGGATACACTTGCTTGAAGCAAAATGACACAAGAAGTGTTATTTTCTGTGAAACTGTTAAAAATTTGAGTTTGATTAAAGAATAAATATTTGACAACGGGTTTAAACAGTTTTCATAACCGTCTGATGGATATTTGTTCTTGTTTTAAACACTTGATTTTGTTCAATTTCTCAGAATAGACTTCATATCGTCATATTGCATCAGGTAAAGGCATCTTAATTTAAAGATTTTTAGATATTTGTATTGGGAAAACAAGACAAAATACTGAGATCATTTTTAGCAGTGCATGCAACATTCAATGCCATTACTGCTGTAATTTAAATACTTTTAAGGCCTTAATTTGTGGAAAACTTGAATGCCTATTTAAGACCTTCAGAAACCCCTGAGCAAGGCATTTTGCCCCCATTTGCTTAAGATGGACTGTATGCAAAAATGAAATACTATCTTAGATTATAAAGAATCTGCTAAATGACAGCTAACCTCATTTCAATTCCTCTAAACCGCTTACTGTCTCATTAAAAATAAGGCGCTATCACTGAGATTACTATTACCTCGTTGAAAGTCTACAGCTGTGCTAAAAACAAGAAAGGATATTTCTCCCGATGATCTGGTCTGACATTGTCTGGAATTTATCCTGCATCTGCTGCAGCAATGTCTGCACCTGTTAGAGAGAAACATTCAGTTCATCTAACGTGTAAATATACAAATAAATAAGACATGGCAAACAAATCATTTTATTTACATCACAAAAACTGTATTCTCAGATCATTTATATCTAACAGTAAACGAAGCTTATGTCGCATCATAATCCAAGTAGAACAGATAAACAGGGCCTAGCATTAGCCTAGCTTAGCTAGCCACCAAAATATGCCGTTTATTATCAAACCTACCACTGCTGTGAGATCCTGCACCGATTTGGGCTCCGTCTCTGTCATATTTCTTTAATAAATAGATGGTACAACTGCAGTTAGAGAGAAACATTCAGTTCATCTAACGTGTAAATATACAAATAAATAAGACATGGCAAACAAATCATTTTATTTACATCACAAAAACTGTATTCTCAGATCATTTATATCTAACAGTAAACGAAGCTTATGTCGCATTATAATCAAGTAGAACAGATAAACAGGGCCTAGCATTAGCCTAGCTTAGCTAACCACCAAAATATGCCGTTTATTATCAAACCTACCACTGCTGTGAGATCCTGCACCGATTTGGGCTCCGTCTCTGCCATATTTCTTTAATAAATAGATGGTACAACTGCAAAAAGATGTTTATTCCTCTTTAAACGGTGTATCTTCCCAGCTCTTTGCTTTCTGATGATCAGCTGATGGATAAATCACGGAGTCGTGACAAATACCGCGAGATTTTCGAGCCCTCGCAGTGAGCGATTCCCGCAGCTGCAGGCAGGCAAATCAACCTCTGGCGTGTCAGACCATACGCGCAGCAACAGAGCAGTTCTCACACAAAAGATGCACAGTCATTTCATCTATTAAAACCAGTGACAGCTTACAGCAGGATACGCCGGCATGTATTTAAATAATTTAGCTCATTTTGTTGCGGTTGTTTAGTTTGTTTTTGCTCAATTGGGTGTAGAAGCAGAAATTATTAAAAGTCTTTGTTTTATCATTTTGTGATATATATTTTGGGCAAATTTCCAAAGAAAACAGGCTTAATTTGTGAGTAGGTCAATTGGTAAAAAAAAAATAAAGATTGAACGATAAATTGCTTTTAAAAGTTGTGAATAAATTGTTCAATTTATACATGGTATAGCCTACGAGAAAGGGACGTGTTTTTATTGTTACCACGTTTTACCGTTCCAATAATCTAACATCAAAATGAAGACAATGGGAGTAGTATCGCTACTCAAACTAATTTGGTTTGATAAGATCTCGTGGTGTTCCCTGTTTATTTGTTTTTCTTTCCTCTTCCTCTGTAACATTAGACCAATGAAAGCTGCGCAGTCAAGCCCACATCTCCACTGCATTAGCCTGATTTCGACTAGATGAGCTGTATGCTCATGTGTGCTGCTGTTATTATAGTTGTCAAACAAGTCTTCGCCCGAAACAAGGTATGCTTAAACTTCCTACGGTTTTTTTTTTTTTACCCCTTCTTTGCAACTTCTTTCTGTTATATGAAGCTGCTTCGTTACAGTAAAGCGAAACTCTGCTGAATATGCATAAAGAGTTTTGAGTTGAGCGTTTAAAGCGAAAAGCACCATGGTGTTATTGTGCATTGCGTTTATCTGCTGATCGGAGAGTTCTTGCACGCGATACTTCATTCATATTCACTTTGGTTTATCAGGTTCGCTTGATAATCAACAAGACAAGCAGTCGATAAAATGTGCACACCCGGATTCATGTATCCACGAATGGTTTGTCCATGTCCTTGTAATGATATCGATGTCCTGTTTGTGAACTAATTGTTCTTTTGATTCGGATCTTTTTCCAAAAAAAAAATAAAAAATCATTTTTTGAACCGTTTCACAAAACAGATCCGGATCGTTCAAGAATAAAACAGAAACGTTAGGGTTTCTCGAATTAACCGAGTGTGTCGGAGTGAATCTTTTGTGCCTCGAAATGATGGTTTCTCTTTTGGATTTGTCCGACTCGTTATGAGCCGAGCAGTCATGATTGAAATTATACAACGTTTAAAGTAAATAGAGCATTAAACTAATAGGTCAAAAAGTTACTTTAATTGCCAAATAGCTGAAATAGCCTATTACCTAACAACCGGATTCATGTATCCACGAATGGTTTGTCCATGTCCTTGTAATGATATCGATGTCCTGTTTGTGAACTAATTGTTCTTTTGATTCGGATCTTTTTCCAAAAAAAAAATAAAAAATCATTTTTTGAACCGTTTCACAAAACAGATCCGGATCGTTCAAGAATAAAACAGAAACGTTAGGGTTTCTCGAATTAACCGAGTGTGTCGGAGTGAATCTTTTGTGCCTCGAAATGATGGTTTCTCTTTTGGATTTGTCCGACTCGTTATGAGCCGAGCAGTCATGATTGAAATTATACAACGTTTAAAGTAAATTAAACTAATAGGTCAAAAAGTTACTTTAATTGCCAAATAGCTGAAATAGCCTATTACCTAACAGACCAGACGATTATTTACGACTTGATTGTATGGTGGTTTTAAAAAAAACTTTCCACATTGTGGTAAATAAATCTTACTATTCCATAGGCCTGTAAATTCAAATCAACCTATATTTAGGGTTCTAATTTACATTTTATGAGTTGAATCAAGGCTGCGACAAACTAGATTGAGTCACACAATTACACTCTTTTAGGCTACTATAACTTAATTTAAAAAATACAATAATGCATACATGGCTTTAGCTTTATAGCTTGTGATACATGACGTAAACGAACCACTGAATCATTTTTGAAACGAGCTGTTCAAAAGAATCGACTCACTTAAATGATTCAGATGTCCCATCACTATTAATAGTCTTAGTGGCCATTCACACGAGGTTTTGTCTTCGAACAGCTATCGGAGTGCGACTGAATGGAATGTCAAAGAGTCTATTTATACAGGAAAAGCAAAATTTAAGCAATGCAGTGACAACCGTTCTTTGTAAACCAGTTCTTTAGGTTTGAACCAATTTAAGGGATTTTCCTGCTGTCCAAATGTGCTGCTGCTTACGGTTTCTAAAGATCATAACACAGACGTGCACATGGCATTATGAAGTGCCTCAAGCACACCAAACGTATTTGATGCCCATGTTTGCCATTCCAGAAAAATCATAGTCTTTTTATGTCCAGCGAAGCCCAATCTGTTTACAGTATGTGTGGATGAAGCATCTGTTCATGTAGGAGACACAAACGAAAGAGACATGGAGACATGTCAGAAGAGCCCAACCCCCTACGGAATGCAGAAGTTATGAATACCTCTATGTACAGTAGCAGTTCTCAGAAAGCATACTTCACTGCTAGACTATAGAGGTCACGAGCAATGCTCAAGTACTTGGTTCCAGTTCCCCACTTCATGGGGGTTAGGAAACATTCCTTACTAATCTGGTCACTTAAACCCACAAAATCTCCTTTAAAGTGTTGCAGTACCTTTAGACTTGGGTTTTTTCTTTTCTTTTTTCTCATATGCATGCATGTTATGGCTTAATTGCAAACTCTTTGTGTGAAATTTGTTTGGAAATGTTCCTTGTCTTACATCAACATATCAGCTAGTGAGTCTTCTAACTGGCTAACAGATCAAGTTTTGTTGAAAGCGACTTGAATAGTCTTAGGTAGCATCATCAAGAATCAGCTGAAAATGAAAAATGACAAACCAATCTGTAATGTTTTGCCATCTATGCTATTTGCCTTTTTTTCTTTTTGTTTGTTTTTGTTCTGTTGGCCCCTTTTTGTTTGAAGAAGAGCATTTCTCAATATAAATTATGTAGTTTTATGTATGTTTAACGTTATAATGTCTGTTTCTTTTATAAATACATTTAAATAAAATATAAATGAAATGTTTCGTTTTTTCCTCATTTTTATTTACCATTTGTTTATAACTTGAACACATGAGGATTTAATTAATCATTTTTAATCATAATGCAATAGTGTTTATGGATTTATGACTGTCTTGGCATTTCTGATTATAATAACTCTCCCCACTATTATTTTATATTTAATTTCCAACTATTGTTATATTATTTTTGCAAAGAAAACTTAACGTTGTATGAAAAAGAAATGATATATGTAAATAATATTAGAAATATTTAAGTGTTTTTAAAATAAATCTATTTGATTAATTTCAAAAGCTCTTAAATATTTTATTTTACTTAAATTATAATTATGTATATTTAAAACTATACACAATATAAAATTACAATTTAAATCCATATAAAAATTACTTTTAATTTAAATTGTGTTTGGGCCAGTGATGCTGTTGATCAAGTAAATCTGAATTAGTCAGGGGGAAAAAAAGAAAAGTACTGTTAGCATAGATTACAAATTCTTGCATCACAAACCTTTTCTTGCATACTTTAAAGAATATTCACACCCTCAGGAAACATATCTGTCCAAAGACTTGTTGAATTAGGGAACTGATGCTGCAAAGTAGCTCAAAACTATTTCGAAACCTCTCAGCAGTGTATTCTAGAACCTGTGTCTCAGCTTGTTCTTTTGATGTGACTTTTGTCTGGTCAGAAACAAAAAGGAGCCTTATCTTTTGGTGCACAGTCCTCCTGTGAGCACATACGTCCTGTTTAGCTGAGATACCGTCAGAATGGGTGGCAGCATGTAGACGACTCTTACTGTTCCTGACTACTGTGAAAATGGCCCCTCATTGGATTTCATGTCCAGAAAGGCCCACATGAATCATGTTTATATTGTAGGTATTATTGTTCCTGTGGGAGCTTTAAGGTTACTGAAGGTGGCACTGTTGCTTTTATTGGTGCTGTTAGGGTTTGTTGCAGCAATATATGCCTCTTTTATTAGTTTTAGCTTCTTTTAGCTAATTTAATCTCAACTACATTGCATTGCACTTTCTATATTTGTGATTAAATGTAAAAGTGTCCTAACCTCTTCTTGCAGGGGATGGGAGTATAAAGACAGTGGTTTGAGAAGGACTAAGCGATGGAGCAGGGGTCAGAGGAGAACATGGAGAGCTCATGGACTCTGCTCTCCTGGCTGGCTTCTGGAGTGATGGTGTTTGGAGGTGCGGTTCCCTACGTCCCCCAGTACCAGGAGATCCAGAGGACCAATAACACAGAGGGATTTTCAACAAGAGTCTGTTTGGTGCTGCTCGTTGCTAATATACTTCGCATTTTCTTCTGGTGAGTGGAGGAGAGTTAATGTTACTGCAGCAGAGTTGATTGATGGCTTAGCGGCCAATGTGGAAATCAAAGTAAATAAACCAGGACAAATCAAATGAATAAAGGCTGAATTATAAGTATATTTGTATGCATGTTCTATTTTATGTATTCGTTCATTCATTTGGTCCCATTTTGTTTGGAGAATAGCATTTCTTCTCAATATAATTTTTATTATGCAGTTTCAAGTATGTTTTGATTATACAGTATGTGTGTTTCAAGTTTCCTTTTTTTAAAAATGTTAAAATAAATTAAATCTACCCATTTATTTTCTAAATGCATCTTGCTCATCTTATTGTAAACAATTAATTCATGCATATGTCTTATTTTTAATCAATGTCATAACTCAATCTTCCGGTAAACAACGCATGATATATGCCATACTTCTCAAATAATTTAGACCGCCAAAACCCCGCCCCTTTTTACATTCAACTGCAAGTTGCATTCAGATCTGCCTCCATCCAATCAACAACCAGTGGAACCAAGCACTGGCCTACATTTGTTTTCTTTTTGATAATCACTTTCATTTGCATATGCGTCATAATGTGGAAGAAAAGATCTCTCTCAACGTCAGTTACATTGTGACTTTAACTTGCAGGCCATCCAAGATGCTGATGAGTTTGTTTCTTCATCAGAACAGATTTGGAGAAATTTAGCATTACATCCTCTGCAGTGAATGGGTGCCGTCAGAATGAGAGTTCAAAGAGCTGATATAAACATCACAATAACCCACAAGTAATCCATGTAGTGGATAGTGGTATTGTTTTATCTACATGTTTGTTTTTGGGCAAACTATTTGGTTTCTCTAGAAGCACAGCTTTTGCACTTTACCTTTAAATTAAGCATTTATTGTTTTGTTTTGCAGGATAGGCAAGCAGTTTGAGCTGCCTTTGCTCCTGCAGAGTGTGGTGATGATTCTCACCATGTTGGCTATGCTACATTTGTGCTGTTCCATCCAGAGCAGCAACCGTGTCAGTACTAAACAGCACCACATCACAGGTAATCACATTAAACAGTGTGTCCAGCGGGAGTGTGAAATGCTTTGCTTAAACACTGTGCTTTTTCTACTTGTAAATACTACTTGGTTTAATATTTTGTTATCTCAAAGTTTTAAAGTGTCCAATATTTTGGGGAAACATATTAAAGGGGTCATATGATGGGATTTCAAGTTTTCCTCTCTCTTTGGAGTGTTACAAGCTCTTGGTGCATAAAGAAGATCTGTAAAGTTGCAAAGACTAAAGTCTCAAATCCAGAGATATTCTTTATAAAAGTTGTCAACCACACCTACCTAAAACGGCTCATTCTAACACGCCCCCACATGTCTGTCACTATGTGGAAATATTAGCATAATGCCACCCAAATGTGCACGCAAAGAAAGGCAGCGTGGTTTCAGGAACAGCAGTAGTGTTGATGTAGCCATGTCAGTGAGACGCTGTGTTTCAGTGCGAAAGCAAAAGCACTTTATTTGGCCTTCCGGAAGTAGATGCAATTAGGAATCATTGGTTAAGATTTATTTACAACAGAACAGCACAACCCAGATGTTCGAATTTGTGCAACGTATTTTATGGACGAGTTTTTATTTTTGTATTATTTTATTTTTTTTTAACGTAGAAGAGTACAAGGCTGGCTGTGCATAAAGACTATTTCTTAAAAAAAAGAGGGTCAATTCCGACTTTGCTATGACAATCTGGCGCCTCCGAGTCAGCGACTGTACGTATGTTTTTGTATTTGTTATTGACTGTTCAAATGCGGAGTTTTGC